AAAGATCCAGATGAACAGTAAGGCTGTCTGACACAAAACAGGGTAGACAAAGATCCCTGTTCATATCTTGCAGTGAAGAACCAAGCACGCTGGGTACAGCAGTTTATCTCAGATATGGCCAGCCTGTATCTGAACACCAAGGATGCCAACTTCAATATCATCTTGGTGGATTTCGATAGCGATGACATGGATGTGGAGAAAGCCCTTCAGGAAGCTCACCTGCCCAGGTATCCCAAGCAGTGATGAAACCTCCAGAACCATTTCCTCTGATGGGTCTCCCTATGTCCACACCGTTAAATCTTAAAACTTCCAAGCCTTTTTTAATGACTGTGAATGCTTCCCAGTACATTTCTTTGCAACATACAGTAGGTTCAGGGAGATAATTTAGGAACAGGACTAAGGCTGTTTTGATCAAATCTGCTCAATTTCCTCTCTCAGCTTGCAACCATGTGCAACCATGTGCAAATAGCCTGTTTTCTTCAGCTGTGTAGGAGAATGAGGCTTCAGCAGCAAAGGGTAACAACAGCAGAAATGTCCCAGTGCTTGTGCATACAAAAAAGAGATGCCAACAACAGGACGGTTATACAGAGATCGGAGTTGTGTGTGTATGATGTACCTGGTTAATGCCATTGCTCTATTAAATCTGGATGATTTCCTTGCTATATTAACTATTGTAAATATCAGGGTGATGAATTAATATGCAGATAGCATTCCTAGGGCTGCAGTTTTAATCAGTTTTATTATTAGGTTAAAGCTACAGCCATAATCATATGTACTAGGAAGTGAACCTCACTGAAAACAGTGGAATTTACCATAAGTGAGTAATTGCATGCCACATTTTATTCATTCTTCAGCCAAAAAGACTCCCAAACCAACTTCAATGAAGTTCCATTCATTGAAAAGGAAGCCCAAAACAATCAGTGTATCAATAAACAACTAGTTCTATTTTGACTAAAGGTTATTGATGTAATTATTCCAACAGCCAATATGGAGATATAAGTGAAGGAAACCAAGTCACTCTAGAACCCGTAGACACTAAAAGGGCTACCAGATATAAGCAATTAAAGAACAAGCAGCTTGAAGGCACCAATATTATATGGAGTCTGTCCCCAGGATTAATACAGAGTAAGGGAAAAAGAAGAGACAGCCATGACTGTAATTTTATAGCCCAGCTTGGGCATGATCAAAAGACCCAGCCGGCACAAAACGTTAGCTACTGCCCAGGTTTGATCTTCTAGGTGTGTCCACTTGAGAGTGTGTCAACTTAAGGGTCAATTAGTTTTAGGGGGTTGAAAGAAAAGAGCAGAGAAGTAGAGAAGATGACTCTGCCCCTTACTTCATTCTTGCCCACTCACTGCACTGTAAGAGGCTCCTTGTCCTCGTGTTGACGGTCTAAAATCCACAAGCCAAAAGGAAAAAAAGGAGGGAAGAGGAAAGTGATAATGAACAGCTATAATGAAAAGCCAGAAGAGTTGAGGGAATAGCCCTGTGATTGACTTAAAACTCTGCAGCAAGATCCTGTGGATGTGAACATGGAAGTAATTCCACTGAATTAAATAGGGTTTATGCTCTGTTAACCATGCAACCTGAGTTAATCAGTGAGAGCTCATCTGAATTGTCAGGCTGCAAGTTAAAGAACAGTCTGATTGTTCATTTGTTTTTAGGTCTCTTTGTTTCAATTACAGTTCTGGAAAAGACAATGAACAAGAAAATGTTGATGATGAAGTTTCCTTCTAAAAATAAGTGAAGAGTTAACTGATTAAAAAGTAACTGGTGAACTTTTTAACTGGTTTAACTTTTTTTTTGGTAGTATATGAATTTATTTACATTTGATTGAAAAGCTAAAGAGTTAAGAGTTAAAATTCTCTACTTTCTTGCCTGTTCTCTGCCTTAACTGTCACATAATGTAATACTGGGAAACTTCTGGTATTTGGAGCCATTTTACTGAACAGACTGTACTTCCCAGTGGCTCCTCTATCTCTGTGCTTTTATTTCCTGCCATCTGCTACTGAGGTGTTATTTCCTTTACAGGTACCAATATTTGAAACGTACAGGGAACTTTGAGCGCTCGGCAGGACTACAGGCTGGAGTGGATGCCATAGAGGTGAGGCCCAAGGAGAAGGGGATGGCTCTTCCTGGAGGTGCTGAATGTCACTCATGGCCTGCCTGTGATGCTCTTTCATCCCTCAGGATGGCAGCAGTATCGTATTCCTCTGTGACCTGCACATCCACTTCCCCCTCAACATTCTGGACAGCATCCGGAAACACTGTGTGGAGGGGAAGCTGGCCTATGCGCCCATTGTCATGAGGCTGGGCTGTGGGAGCTCTCCACAAGAACCCAACGGTAAGGCACCGCCACTGCTGGGGGAACATCAGTGGGACCACTTGGTTTAATTCACACAGCTAAGGTGGCATTGTACTCCTGAAGTGGGTGAAACCAGAAGCTTGCTACTACAGCAGCTGAACCCTGGTCCCCATCTAGTTCTTCCAGGATGCCTCCAGCCCTTATGAAAACTTTGTTTGGTTCTCTTCCACAGATAGGGCGGCTCAGTAATCCTCACTGCTGTGACATGACAGCAGAAACCATATGTGGGCAACTTCAGGGATATTCTAGGAAGCTCTGCTTGATAAAGTTCAGCTCAGGCTTGGCAGGACTCCTGCCACAAAGCCCTTGTGTCTCCACAGTCCAGCAGCGAAAGGGGAACCATTGCCTGGGGACTGGTGCAGCCTATTCAGGCACAGACCTAGGAATCTGGGCTACTGCATGAGGCCCTAAGTGATTTTGACATCGAAAGCACTAAATGATAACACTGCCAAGTGAGGCTGCTCAATGAAAGCAGTCAGCACATGTGTGGATGTTTTAGTGGAAAGCAATAGGGATGAGAGGAAGTGTACACTTTTTTTAACATGTACAGTACTGTTGCTATTAATTACTTATTATTGTATAAATTGGGCCATATGCCTATTCTCTAAAGTCTTCAGGATCATCTGAGCTTTGTGCAGTAAGCACTCCTTTTTGCCCAATATTCATCTCCTAAAATCTGTTTCAGTTGTAACTACTCTTGGAAATATGAAGTGGAGGTAGATGACTTCTTCTCCAAGGGCACTGTCTTTGCAAGGAAGACAGCATGGGAAAGAGTTAGACCAGTGGCAAGAATCCTGTGCCAGATGTCACTAAATTCTTATTCCCAGCATCCCTCCCTTTTGACCATGCTGACTAGGACTGCTGGGAGTTGTAGTTCAGCAAACCTGGAAGGTTATAAATTCCCTGTCTCTGACGTAGTTTGAGTACAATTGTTCTTAAGCCAATTTCTTCCCCCATTTCCTATATTATTTTCCATCATGGAGCAGAAGTGGAATTTCCCTGACTTTTAGACAAGCATCCAGGGGAAAGAAGTTCCAATAAAGTCTCTATTTCATGTGGTGGGATCTCCCCTGCTTTATATTTTTCCCCCCAGGGTTTATTTTTATAAGGTCACTTGTATAATGCTTTAATAGAGGTATTTTATCTCTAGCCAGCAAAAGTGATAATGTAGATTTTGGCTACAAATATACTCTCTCCTACTACTGTTCAGTATGGACAATATCAACAGGGGAACAGGGGGCAGAGAATGGGAAAGTTTTCCTTTCTCATTGCAAAAAATTGACTAACAAGCCTCTTTCAGGTTCATTGTAATGAAAGTAGCACTGACATAATTTTGATATATAAATAAAATGAATACATTAGGCTTATGGACATTTTATCCTTGGAGAAGGTCAAAATTGCATGCTAAATAAAATTAGATTTTGCCATTTATATGGATTGATCAATTGACTAAAATATTTACAGGTGATTTTCCAATTGCTCAAAGCTGTTTATTACCAATCATAGAAACACAAAAGCAAAACTGCACCAGCAGAGTGAAATAAAAGTGCATCCCAGAAAAAGAATAAAGTTAGGCTGCAATTACTTGTTTTGTCTAATTTAGTTGTGCTTCTTCTGGGTGCGAGGAAAGAGACAAGGACAACTACAGAGTTATGGAGTTGGGAGAAGCCCTTTGGGCCTTTCAGTCCAGCCCCCTGCTGAGTGCAGGAATCCAGATGAGAGCATCCCAGACAGATGGCAGTGAAGGGGAGCCCACCACCTCTCTGCATAATTGCGCCCACTGACCCACCCTGCTTACTGTTAGGAAGGCTTTTTTCTAGCATTCAGTCAGAATCTGCCTTGTGGTAACTTCAGCCCATTATTCCACGCCCTGCACTCTGGAATGAGTGGGCCAGTCACTCTCTCTCAGTCCTAGGACGAAGGCAATAGCAACCATTTCTGAACAATGCTGCCAAGAAAACTTCATGGACTTGTCCAGGCAGCCGCCAAGAGTCAAAACAGACTTGAAGGCACGAAAGAAAAACAAATGCACCCATTTTTAGGAGCTGCACTGGTTGCCAGTAGGCTACTACATACAATTCAGGGTGTTAGTTATTGCCTGTAAAATCTTTTGTGGCTTAGATCCTCATCATCACTGGGACCATCTGTCTGAGGTAGAGCTTACCTTCCCACTTTGTACAAGCCAGGAGGGCAGGCTGAGAACCTCTTCCTCATGAGGAGAGAACCAGGAAATGAGCCTCCCCCGTGGTAGCCCCCTCACTTTGGAAGAGTTACCCCCCACAAGGCAACGATGAAAAGCAATCATCCTTCAGAAAGCAATCAAGACTACCGTGGTACCTCGGGTTACGAAGCCTCTGTTAACGAATTTTTCGGGTTACAACCAGCTCTGGCCGCAAAAATTTACCTCGGTTTGCAAACTCCGCCTCAGGGTACGAACAGGATACGTGGCCATTTTCCCTCCCGTGACACGGTCCGC